GGCTTACCCTTGCCACATAAATTTTCACCATGTGTACACCCTTGGCTCCCTCTAAAATAGCAACCAAGCACACAGTCAGCTGTTCCCATTTGCTCTTGCTCTTAAGAAAGATTAAAAGTAAATTGGAATGAGTTCTGTCAGAGTAGAGACACTGAGAACTTCGACCCACAGTAGTTGCCAGACCAGAATTAGAATAGGCTGGGACTCAGATGAAGTGGACCTACTTAACAGAAGATTGTGTCCTGAGTTCTAGAACAATCTATAAAGCTTTTCTTCTTCTAGTTTGCTTTGGGGCAAATAATGCAAGTTGAAGGGAAAGACAACTTGTAAGGAAGGCCTGGGATTTTTCTGCCCCCTCATTGTGTTAGGTAGAAATGTTTTTGATTGAAGTAGTATTTAGCTTACATCTCTCTGTGTTCTAAATAAAGACAATGTCTAGGGGAAAAAATTTATTGAGGCAAAGCAAATTAGACTGGAATGTTTTTCTATGCCATTAAACTATCTCCGTAAGAATTCACTGGCAGTCAATGCCCCAATTTAAAAAACAGATTAGTTGTGCTTCTTAGAAGTATCAATGGGAGGGGAAGGAAAAAAACACTTGGAAGAGGATATTTCTCTAAGAATATACTCTTTTTGAGGAAGAGGATCGTGAGGAATGTCAGAAAGGCAGAGCTCACCCCAAAGATGGCCATTAAATCCATTCGCCCCCTTTTCCATCACTGTTTTTCCCAGCATGTCTCTGTGACTGGGACCTTTCTGCTGGATGTGATCGGGCAGATGACGGCAGCGGCAGTAATCAGAGTTAAGAGGACTGCCTGATGAAAGTGAAATGCAGCAGTGTGAGTATGGGTGAGTTGGGAGGAAGGGGCTATTTGTCTAATTTTCTCCTCAGCTAGAGCTATGACTTCTGAGCTCTTATTGCCTTAGAACTTGGAGTGGTTTTGAGGTTTTTTTTCAGTATGAGTGCCATTATTTAAGAATCGGATGTAAAGGTGGGAATGTTAAAAAAGAAGAAAACTCTTTGTCTTTGCTTCTCGAAGTGTGGCCCATGGATCAACAGGATCAGCAGTACCTAGCAGCTTGTTAGGAATACAGAATGTCAGGGCTCACCCAGACCTGCTGAACGAATGGCAGAATCCCCAGGCACTTTGTATGCACATTAATGTGTAAGAAGCAGTAGTGCAGAGGATTTGTAGTGAATCAGAGATTGAGAAGTTAGGTTAATTGCCCCTGAAATCAAAGCTCACACTCTCTGTGGACAATAGTGCTACAATGTCCAAGAGGAGCATAAAAGCACCCCCAATGTGTTCGTTCCTTTTGGAGCACCAACACTCAAAATAGCTTATCAGAACGCCTGATTAATTGTTCTCACACATTCTTGCATGCTCTATATATCAGACAAAAACAATGAAGAAAGGAAAGAGGGAGAAAGCAAGAGAAGGTGAGAGACAGGGAAGGAGAAAGGGAGGGAGAAAGAGAAAAAGGAAATAGAAAAATCTCACACGTTTTGTTTGTTTTTTTTACCACATGTTGGACTTTGAGCCCCCAATTGCCTGTCATTTGAGCCCTCAACTGCCATTCCCAGGCCCACAGATTCCCTCCTACTTCCTACAAAATGAAGAACACTGAATACACTATGTACTTGACACACATAAAGGTCTGGAACTTCACGCAAGACATTTGAGCAATAATAGAAGCTGAATTGATGTGGTGTTATTTTAAGGACAAGAGATGGAGAAATAGGTCTGCACAATACCTACAAATGGGAAATATGGCTTTCTAAAAGGATCCAGGAGACAAGAGTGGATTATCTCAAACACATAAGGGGAAATTCCTGCGGGTTCAGAAGTAAGGAAGAAGAAAAGCTCGTAGAAAATTAGACTTCCACACAGAAAACTTTCTCTAATACCCGCTATTGCCTACTAACAGGTCTGTAAATACGGAGAACACAGGGTTACCAGACCAGAGAAGACATGATAAAGGATATGGGAGGTAGCGGGTTAGTGAAGAAGAATGAACTTATTTACTGAATAAGTGAAAGGCTTTTTGGGGGAGGGGATTGACCAGTTGATTTCTACATCCATGAAGAATCAAAGCAAAGAACCAAACCAACTTCGCTTAAGCTAAGAAAAACTTAGATCGGAAATTAAACTCAGTTTTCTTTAGAAAGATATAACACTTGGGGCTGACATGAGGGGTTGCAGTAATTTACACTGTGGATCTTCTCTTGAAACAACTTTATTCCAGTGAAATCTGGAGAAAATGAACAATAACCAAAACAATCAAAATTTGGGAGAAGGATGTAATGGGGGAAAAGATTTCTCTTGGCAATGTTGAGGGGTATTTGGGGGCTAAATGCATGTGGCCAAACTTCACATTTTGTATACCCATTCTACTGTGCTACCTTCTCTGAGTCACCATGTAACGGGACAGCAAAGAAGATCCAAGTTAGCCTGGATCCGTTTACTAAGGATGGCTCTGCTCTGAGGGGGTGTGTAAAGTTGTGAATAGACTTCTCAGAGTTAATAAGGTGCCCCTTTGTAAAGCCTACAGAAGTAAGCAAACACCACCAGTTCTGAAGAGTTCTAGATTCCCCCTTTTGGCAAATGAAGGACCTCCCAGCTTTGTACTTCCATGATTCTAAAAGGATGTGCCCCTCTGTGAGCATGTCTACACAAATGTAGGATGTGACTCTGCTGGAAATACATTTTCTGCTCACTTTTAAATCCCTTACAAAAATGAGAAAACTCCATTCCTGAAAATATGAAAAAAGTAAAATAGCCCTTAATAGAAAAATAAATAAATAAAAGAGGAAGCCAGGATAGCCACAGGCTATAAAAATTCATAAGCTCAGCATATTTCAGTCAGAGAAAGGCATCACTTCTGAGACAGATGCTTGTAAATCTCACCGAAGCAGCATTGTTTTGAAATTTCCCCAGCCTCAGGAAATTGTATTAAGCACAGGAAGACAGCAGCATTAGAGGCACTGAATTCCTGGCCTGAGTTTCTGGTTTGAAGCAGCTAGAATTGGCGATATGTACACTTTTAAAAATTGTCTGGGCTGAACCATTCTTTGCAGACAGATAAGGGAGTTTTAAGAATCTTGTTGCTTGAGGACTTGAGAGGTCTTGTTTACTATGGATATTACCAATCTAAAGACAGTATATGGATGACCAAATTTTCTTCTTCTCTAAAATCCATCTCATCAAATATTTTCACTAGTTTTCTTGGTTTGAATTCAAAAGTGAGCGAATTGTAGAGGCAGATAAAATTATGCCAACGTTTATGTAATTAGTAGCGATAAGTAACTTTTGTCACAATACTACTATTCCTCATTCAAAAGGAGTATTGGTTGCTGATTCTTCCTCAAGCCTTCTTCCAGAAGATGCTTGTTTGTGACCATTCTTTATTTTTGATCATGCTCTAATGATGAACAAGCTGGTTTTGATGAAACTTGCTTCATTGCCTCTTTTCCTTTTTAAAGAGGCAGAATAATGTACTAGGGTGATTTTTAAATGAACATTTTTGTGCTCTGGTTTAAATTTGGTTGTTACATGTGACCTGACATTATTCCCATATGAAAACATGATCCATCTCATTTTTAATTAAGATGTTAATTTTATGAAAAACAATTTGTGGAGAGAACCCCAATACTTTGCTGTTCAGTAATAATTGATTAAATGGATACCCACCAAAAGATTTTTATTTATGATAGGCTCAGGGACTTATTTTCTCATATTTGTTAGCTCTTGTAAGACAGATGATCCTCGCTAAATTAAAGAGGTGCTATGACTTGGGTTTGGATCTTCAAGCTATTGGAAAGACGTTCCAACTTCCCTTCAGCTGAGATAGAAAATGATAGCACTCTAAAAGCAGAGCCTGGTAGAAGACAGTTACATAAAATGCCTTTTCAATTTTTGCACTCTATTACCCTTTACTATTACAGGAAAATGGTATTATCGCCTGATTACTGAGAAAGCACACAAAAATCTCACCTTCCAAATCCGAGTCAGTCCTTGACTAGGGATGAACAAAGCCAGGCCATCTGTTCTGAAAATCATTACTACTTTGGCCATTTGGGCAAGGGATATATCTTGCTTGCTTCAAAGAGAGGTTTAAGATTGGAAAATTGAAATGAAATAAGTAGACAGGAAGAGACATTTGAACAAACAGCACTTTCCAATGAGAGCCACATTTGTTAGGTTATTATCATCATCACTTTAATTTCCACTCTGGTCACAGAGTTAACCTTTGGGGTCTCCATTTGACAAAACATTTCAGTAAAAAACTTAATTCCAGAGTTTCTGCAAGAAATGCTTAGGAAGGAAAACGGGCGTGTGGGTGAAAATGAGTCATCAGTCACCGCCACCCCGCTTCCTGGTGATTCTCCACTGGAAAACCAGAAACACGGGTTGAGCTTACATGTCTATTTTACCGGAATAACACTATCCCCCAGGCCGTGCTAATTTCCTCAACTAAACAGTCCCTAATCTGCTGAAAGGCAGCTGGCTAACTGCTGGTGTCTGGCAAGTGTCCCATCTGTCCCCCTGCCGGGGGTCTCTTTCTCCTCTTCACTTTCCCTTTCTCTCAAGCAGTCTCTCTTTGTTTTCAGGGGTGTCGTCCACCTGAACTTTCTTTCCTATGCCTGAAAACTTGGGCTCTTTTCCTCTACCCTGCAGACCTCGGGCTTTGTTTAAGTGACAAGACACAGTTGTGTTGACTATAGTTACGGCGCTGGTGATGGTGGAGATCATGACGGTGATGGTGGAGATGGGGGTGCTGATGGTGTAAGGGAGCGCAGGCTGAGCGGGCGCCGGGAGGAGAATGGACCACGGAGGCGGTGGAGAGCAGGGTGCGGGAGGCATGGAGCGCGGAGGGATTGCAGATGGGAGCTGTCCACGCACCGAAGTGCTGAAACGCCGCAGCCATGGCATCGCAAGAGCGGGGGAAAGGCAGGGAGGCGCTGCAAATACAGAAGGGAGAAAAAAGGCAACAAATACCTTCACACCGCCGCCCAGCCTTGCTTTGGGAATGTGTTTCTGCAGGTGTCCTCGCTGGTGAGCTGAGTGGGTGAGATCTCCTATTCTGGCAGGTTCGGGCTCAGATTTCTCTAGAAAGCTGTGAATGAGAGCCCCGGCTCCACTGGGCTGTGATTTTGGTAGGAGGCGTGTGCGCCCGAGACTCTGTCCTTCTATACCGAGCCTAGCTTTCCCCTGGGTCCTAAATACCTCCGCACTTCTGCTCTCCCCCGTTCCATCAAGACACTACCAAGAATTATTGTAATTTTGTAACACCTGGGACAAAAGTACCGGCACTATCACACCACCCCCCCCCCAACGTTAAAAGCAGAATCTTTCTAACAGATTAATGCAACCTCTGAAACAAGAGTGAGTGTGTGTGTGTGTGTGCGCGTGTGTGTGTAAATTTAACAGATGAGAAAGTATCACAGACCTATGGGGAAAAGGCTGCATTATTTTATTAACAAATGGAGGTAAGAAAATGAACGATTTGTAAAAGGCTTAAATTAAAGCCCCATCGCACCAAAATTAATTCCACATAGCTTAAAGAGCTAAATTCAAAAAGTAAAATTAAAAAAGAATTAAAGGACCCTAAGAAATATTTTACTGATCTCAGGATAGGGACTGTTTTTTAAGCGCAAGAAGAATCGCAAAGAAAAAATATCAATGTTTGAGTGCATAAAAATACTTTTGTATGTAAAAATGTCATAAAAGCATAAATATAAACAACCACTTGGAAAAAACTGCAACAAATATATGTTTCATACATAAAATATCTCATATATCAAAAGAAAAACACTAATGGCTTAAGAGAAAAAAGGAGGAAGAGCAAATGACAAAGAATTCACTAAAGAAGAGTGATGCATAATAAACATATTTTTAAAAGTCAACTTCACCAGTAAACAGAGATATGTAATTTAAAATAGCACTAAGATGTAGTTTTGGCTGCCATTTTAAATCTTCTTAATATCTCATGTTGTTGAGATAATAGCGAAAAAGTGTAATCTTTCTATAAATCTTTTTCACAACATACATCGTGTCATAAAATATACGTGCGTTTAGACCCAATAATTCCACTTTATGTACCTTATGACGAACATATAATCAGATATGCAGATAAAGATTTATGTACATAAATTTAATTTATGATCACAGAAATTATTTTAAAATAATGAAAGCATTAGAATTGTATATATATAGCCTGTAATAATTGCAGCTACTAAAAACATATTTTTAAGACTATTAAAGACAAAGAAAAATGCTTCACAAAATGGTAAGTAAAGAAAAGCAAGATAGCAAATACAGTACTCCCCCTAGTTATCAAGTTGGTAATATTATAGGATAGAATGATGAGATTATAGGTAAATTTTCCTTTGCTTTTTATCAAGTTGGACAAGTTGATTTTCTTTCTTGTATTTATCTCGTTTCCATATTTACTAAAAGAAGAAAATTTATGAAATATTTTAAAACAATCTTTTTATCATATATTTCACAGAGACTTTAAAGTTGTCAGAATTCTTTCAGCTCTGATGTAGCATCATATATATATATATATGTTTGATATATACACATTTGTTTGTTTATTGTCTCTCTCACCAATAGAATGTAAGCACCATGTGGTAGAAAATTTTCTGTTTTTTTCATTGTTTCTACCCAAGCACCTAAAAGTGTGCCTGGAACATCATAGGAGTTCAATAAATATCTGTTGAATAGAAGAATGAATGAATGATTAATCCCCCCCCACATACAGACATATTTAAAAATATCTTATAAAGTTATGAACTTCATATATAGAAAGTTATCCAAAAAGGCATAACACACCAAAATGATCTGAGGTTGCTGCTGAGTTTTGATCACATATAAGCTCAATTAAAGGGGCATCTTCAAAGGTATAGCTAATCATAGACATGACTTGCAAAGTGGCACCGAATGGGAATTTTTTAAAGAAAAAGGTTTTCTCCAATTAATTTCTGCTCAAATACTCTTCATTTCATCTTGATCCTGATCCCTTTAAATCTTTGTAGACTTTCCTTTCTTCTGAGATGTTAATGTTAATTATTCTGTTTCTCTTCCTTTTTTTCTCCATTCTATAACCAGTAGCGGAAATATAAACCAAGACTGAGACCTAAGTGTTTCATGATTTAAAAATCCTTTTTTAAAGTTTAAAATGAATTTGGATACGTTTGCTCAGCTGGTGTTCCTTTTTAGTTTTTCTTCACTAACAATTTTGAATTTGAATGACATTGGTGATAACCTAGCCAAGTTTTATTTGTATTTTCTAAGCTGTGAGGTGAAAAAAAATCATATATATATATATATATATACACAGACACATATGTATATATGCGTGAGTATATATACTCTCCTTCCTGAGAAATCTTTATAGAGGAAAACTATCTCCACTTATATGTGACTGAGTCATAAACCCAGAGTGCTCCTGCCTGATCATGTGATAGGACCCACCGAGATAGATAGGCAGGGTAACTACAAAAGCTCCTGGCTGTCAGAATAGTCTTATATTCTGAAAGTTTTAAAAACAGTTTTAAATTTTACTTGCACTGATCAGAGTGAAAAAATTAGTGTGTTTAAAATAAGTCACTTTTACTCATGACTAGAACAGATATGCTCAATATATTAAAAGATTTACTTCTTCCCAAAGCGCCAGTGGAGGTGTACCATTTCCCTTTACATTCATGAGTACTGTGTTGTTTATGATAATACTTACCTTTCTATATGGTTTAAAATTCCTATGTAAGAACTGCCCTTTACTGAATACATGTGTCTTCACTGTCTTTTTGTTTCCTGGGACCCAGATTGTCTTTGCTCTAATCTTTTCCCTGAAAACTGCAAACCAGAGGCTTCTGTGATGGATTTCTTTTCTTTACTCCTTCTGATTCACATTGTGCTGATATTTTGCACACTCTACTCAAACTCTATTTAAGCTCCCTACACTACAGCTGCCTACATATTTGTTTGCAGGATTCCTCCATGTACCCCTTTGTGTATAAGCAGCCAATGCCAACAGTGAAATTGTGGCCAGCTCACAAGGATCTCCCATGCTGCCTAACCTGGAGCCGGACATTCCTAAGTCAGTTACTCATTTTTGTACTGTCTTAGTAGACCATGTTAATGTGGGCTCACTGTGGTCTATGTTTGGATGAGGGAGGTACAGTGCCTTCTGTGGGTTGGCTAGTGACAAATGAAGGTTCTATCCATGTGGAGATGCACTGAAGTCTGAGAGTCCAGGTAGAATGAGATAATACCCAGAGAAATCTTGATATTTAGGAGAAAGATGCTAGGATGATATCATAATGGCAAAAACATCCTGTTTCTAGACAACTGCCTGGCTTTGATGTTTAAGGACTGGGAAATATATGAGGAATAAGGTCAAATTGCAAAAGTAAGAACATTTTAATTAGGCGTAATGATATTTTGTTCTCACATTTTGTGAGGTACATCTCAACATATTATCGTAATGAATTGTAACTGATATTTCTAATATCTAATGGGCAGGGCAATTTTGAAGTTTTAGAGTTTTTGTATTAGGATAGTCTAGGTAATGTTGAAAAATAAAATTAATTCTGCAGTCCCAGGGGCTTCCCACAACAATGGTCTCTTTCTCGTTTACACTAGTTTTGGGATTGAGGGAAAGATGGGGCTCTGTTCCACCTAGTAATGCAGGGGCCAGGTGAGGAGGTGCCACAGCAGGGAAGAATAACGCATGGAGAACTTGGGCCTGCTTTTATGCTTCAGCCTGGAAGTAACACACATCATTTCTGCTCACAGCTCATTGGCCAGAATAAGTCACACGGCCCTGCCTATATGCAAGGGGGCTGGGAAATACAGGCAAGCACAGGGATATTTCGTGAGCAGCCAATGTTTCTGCAAAAGTCTACCCTTGTGGTTACTAAAAATATCTTCACTCCCTCCTTAACACACACAGAACACACTTAACCCATCTCCAAAGATTCCTTCAGTCACTACATCCAGTGCCAGGTTCTGGATCTCTAAGTTTTATGCAGTTGTCTTATCTCTACTACATATCCAGATGTGATCCTCTTGTTCTGGAGATATATAAGCAAAAATACAAATTATTTGCAGCCCCTTCCCCCAAAACATCCAATATACAATAGTAGAAGACGGACAGGGTAATGGCAATAAACTCTCCCATTCAGAAACGAAAGGATGGGAAAATACCTAGCAGTCATTGAGCCCAGGAATTCTGAAATCACCCTGAACAGTTGCGGCAAGACCTCCTACATCGGGAGTAAGAGGATGTTTTTGATGAGGGCCTTACCCTGGTCTCTGGGGAAAACTTTCTATTCCTTTGTTCTCCGTGACCCCTGGCACAACAGTCTGAAAAGTTCTTATTTTTTCCATCATACTCCTTGGCCACATCCAAAATGGGCATTATAGGATATGCCGTCCATTGAAATTGAGTTTCCAATGTTAGTCTCAATTTCTGTTTTACTAGAATCACAGCAAACATCCAGTTCTTTGAGTAGCAGCATGCAGTCAAGAAACCACGCAACCACGTAGTTAAACATTTATGAATTCCAGCATTTATTTCCTCAAAAAGCTAAATGGGTAAGCAAGCGAAAAAAGTGGATAGTTGTGTATAAACTGAATCTCTGAATTGGTCAATGTTTCTCTGTCTTAACTACTACCAGAAGTCTTCTGCTTGTTGTCATTTCAAGGTTTCTTGGAGAGATTCAAGGAATCAAAGTCACTGGTTGCTCCATTACTGCTGTGGCGGGTTGGGTGTTTCTTCTAGGTGGGACCTGGATGGTATCGATATACCTCACATTCTATCCGTTCAGAGTCGCATCGTTAAGCTGGAATGTTCCTCGATTGCCATATTCTAATCTGTCCTGGGCAAGGTGGCTATAAGCTTATTGAAGTGACCCATTTCCTTTGGAGCAACACAAGAAAGTTCAGGACGAGGCATCCTTTACAATATTTTGAAACATACATACCTCAGCCTCCTTAGGGGATGCACAGTTTTTCAGCTCACTCTCTTCCCAAAGGAGATTGGGGACCCACTGGGTTATTTTACTTCTCTAAGCCTCACAGGCTTTTTTACTCCAAGTTCATAGTTTCCTTGGAAATATAATTCTCTGAAGACTTTAGAGGTGCATTTTGTGTCTGATTTAGTCAGTTCCATGTTACA